AGCGCTGACTCTTCAGCTTGAAAACAGAGATGAGCACCGCACCCTAGAGTCGGATTTGACTGGCATTCGAGCAAGGGAAACCTTTACTTTTAGTTTAGGTCAATTGAATGGAAAGGGAGAAGAATAAGTAAAATAAAAAATAACTTTGCCTAATTAAGAAATACATTTCTTCAGGAAATCCATAGCTACATCAAAGTGTACATCTTTTAACATAAAGAGGTCCCAAGTTCAGTAAGGCTTTGAATTGGACTAGAGGAACACCTCTGCCTGAGATTCTAGAAAACTATTTACAGTAGAACTGGACTAGATATAGCAATGATCAAATTTTGTATAAGGTATATTCACATGAAAATGTGTTTTTTCCCACCTAAACAACACCATTTCCACTCTGATCTTGCCATGCTATATATCCACACAATCCACACAGTCCTGTAACATTTTCCCCAACTTTGCTTTTTTTTCCTTCAAGGTAACGTCCTTGCAAAGATCTCATAATGCTATATCCAACCACATGGACATTTACATTTAAAATTTTGGCTTTATGTTTTTTATGTAATCTATTTTATGTATCTTCATTGAAAGAATCTCTGTAAGCTGCCTTGAAATCTGTAAGGAAGAAAGGCAACTAATAAATATTTTAAATAAATAAAATAAATGGAGGAAGAGCACAGGCATATTTTGGGGGGCATGACAAACTGTAACACCACCGTGAAGCAAGCTAACAATATATTGCATATGTTATAATAAAACAATTTAATCCAACACATAGTGAATTAATGATAGAGATTCAACAGAATTATAAACATATAGAGTAGAAGATAAGAACATAAGAGATGCCAATGTTGGTCAGGCCAAAGGCCCATCCAGTCCAACACTCTGTGTCACACAGTGGCCAGAAATACCAGTGCCATCAGGAGGTCCACCAGTGGGGCCATAAGAACATATAAGATATAAGAACATATTCTACAAGGCACGAACAATCCAAAAAATAATTAGTGTCAACAATTTAAGGACCACCTAATGATGAATATATAATACACAATATGCAAGCTGCAGTCCTCCTGTACATGCACAGTCGCCAGGTAGATCTCCCATGCTGCTTAGAACAGGGACTTCAAGTAGAAATCTATCATCAGCTAAGCAAGTACCAACAAACAATTGATAAAGACTGTTTTGAGAAGGCCTTTTTTCAAGAGCTGACAACTTTCTATTAATTTGGTCAAATACCACTTATCAGAAGGGCATATTAAATAACAGAATACCACTGCCTCTTATTATTCCCAAATAGTCTACTTCATAATTCAAGCTGGGCATAGCATTCTAGGAAAAAATACCTTTCATTTCTTACCTAATTAGAAAGAATTTTATAAAGTTCATTTGTAGGGATGGGCATGAACCACAGTTTTGCGGTTTGTTTCAATTCGTGGTTCGGACACACCAGTTCATAGTGGTTCATGACCTCTGTTTTCTGCTCCCTGCCACTTTTGTCAGGAAGCAGAAAGCAGGGGTTCTCCCCTCAAAAAGCAGCAGAAAGTAGAAAGCAGGCGTTTCCCTGCAAAAAGCAGCAGGAAGCAGGGGTTTAAAAGCCATTTAAACCCCTGCTTTCTGCTCCCAGTAAAAACAGCTAAGTGGTGGGGAGCAGAAAGCAGAGTTTTAAGTGGATTGGAGCCATTTAAACCCTTGCTTTCTGCTCTTCACAAGCCACCACAAACTGCCTTAAAATTTGTGGAACTGCCTTAAAATTCGTCACAAACGTATGTCAGTGAGCCAGTTCGTGCCCATCTCTATTCATTTCATGCAGAGGAACGAGGAGAGAAAAAGAAGACATTGGTGTAGCTTTAAGTCCCAGCTTCAGCTACAGGGCTTGTCCTACTGCTGAAGTCTCAAGATGAAGCCAGGGGAAGCCCCTTAGCTGCATATGAAAGGGATAATAAGAGATTCTTCATCATTGGTCCTTAGACCAGTGATCTTCAGCCTGTAAGCTGGGACCCTTGGGTGGGTCACCAGCCTGCAGAGAACCCCCGTATTTTTTTTGTGCTGCTTTTGGGAAGGACCTGCTCCTAGTTTTGTGTCTATAAAAAGCAAGATACTGAGCCTTTTGCCCCTCTTTGCACACATACTGAAAGGAGCAGCAGGACAGCAAGATGGGATGACTCAGTTGTGGACTCTGACACTTGCTGCTGTAGTACACCTCTGGGTGCTCAGCTTACATTTCCTGTCCCCAGATCTCTTGGTCTGCTGTCCACTGTCCTGGACTTGACTCCAATGAGATCATAACTCTGGCTCCCCATCTTCCTGTCACATGACTGTGGTTTAATTCAGTTTATCTACTTAGGTTATATGCTGCCAGTCTAGAGCTTTTGAGGTGGTTGCTGTAATTTCTCATACGCCTGAAGCTTAGTGGAGCCCATGCTGCTGGGGGAACATAAAAGGTGGATCCTGGGTTTGGGTTTTATTATGAATGTTTTAATTTGTTAGGTGCCCTGGTGGACCTTATGAGGGCAGAAAGGTAGGGTACACATTTTGTTAAATAAATACACAGGTTGAAGACTACTGCTTTGGAACTTGTTGCTAAGGTGGAAACCAAAAAAATATACCATCAGTTTCATTTCATAGATGGCTTGCATTGACCAAAGCCACCTCTCCAGAGACCTGCTTGAGGCAACATAGGGAGTAAGCTCCTGCCAAACCAGAAGTGGGAGAAGCATCTCTTAGAACGACCGTATGAACAATCATGGTCTACAATGAGAGCAGGAGAATACAGCTTTTAGTGTTTTTCAACCAGCCTGTGTGTACTTGTTAGCCAAATTGCCACGAATTATTAATAACTATGGGGAATTATGATATCACGCAAGACAATAGGCAAATAAGGGAGCAAGCACCTAAGTATACAGGGGTCCCGCTTCTTCCAGACACATCAGAAATAGTCTCAAAGGCCAGCTTCAGTATGAAATGATTTT